GAAAAATGCCCCGGCACGAAGTGGTTAACCCTCACATCGTGCCTCTGTGAAAGAACATAAACAAGAAACTTTGGCTTTTTGGAGTGGATGGTCCCCCCCCAGAGAATACCAAAGAAGAATTGGTGGAGGTACAAGCTTTAAATCCCCTTTCAGTCAACATTTTTTCATTTTTCCTTTGCATCTGTGTGATGATACACCCAGCCAGTTCCGCTGTGCCTCATTTGAATCATATTCAATTTCTGCACCCATTATATTTCTTTAAGACATTTCCATCAAACCCTTATTCGTGAACTTCTCACAAAAACGAGGATTTCAACAGAGCCAACTTACGGCATGCTTTGTCGGTGAGCGGGCACTGGGACGACGGGACCCAGAGGTTGGAGGAGCCAGTGTCGAAGATGACGAGAAACGTCTGGGACGGTGTTCCGATATTGATGGGTCCATAATACTCTGCCTGTCAAATGTAATCAAAAGAAAATCGAGGAACACATTACGTGCAGTGAACTGTACACATAGGTTTTCCTGGTGTGCTCTGAAAGCCATACTGATCTTTCAGTTTTGTTCAAATTAAGGTTTCTGTTCCCGTTATTACATTCAGTTTCCCTTACAGTCTTGCCATTTTCCAGTTTGTTTTAGTCATTCCATATTTACAAGTATTCAAGATGACTTGGCTACAAGTGCGTGTATTAGATTTCTACCGCCCTCTTCCAGTAGATGAAAATCAGATGAACATTCATCACAGCACTCAGACTCCAGGAGCATGTTTTAATTTACCTCTGGGTTTCAATTTATACATGTATGTAGTCACACTACATCTTACTCCTGATGATAATAACACATGGCATGAACATTATAAACCGGAACTGTAAGTCATTGCAAAGTTATTTTTCAGTTTCTAGTTTTAAAAATGAAGTAACATAGTTGAACGATAGAGGAATTTAAACTGAAATCCCCATTCATAAATTCATAAACAGGTGATTAATAAATGGGAATGTGCTTGCCCTTTTGAACACTAGTTGAAGATTGGCTCAAGGAATGGATGCCAATAATGCCCCTCTCCTTCCGCTAGGGCAATGTTTCCATCCATTCTCCCAGGCCTTGATGTTAAGCAATTTTTTAACAAGCCCACCGGGCAAGTTCAAATGGGACTCCAGACTGGGCTGACGTACTGTCATTTTATTAATTTTTAAACTAGCCTACAGGAATTTTCACTTCTCCACGGGACATGTTTCAGCAAAACTACATGTGACTTCGACTGTTTTTTGCTTTTTTTTTTTGCAACTCCGCTATTTAAAGCATTTAGGGTGAAGTCCTCCTTTCAAGTTTAAACTTAAAAAGCGACGGATTCAAAACTGTTACAAAAGATAATCAACGACATGTACAGTCACTTTTACAAGTTTTTCATTCATCTTTAAACACATGACAAATGTCAGGGAAATTCATGTATTTCTTTACTAGCCCACCGGGCAAGTTAAAGAATGCATTACTCGCCCGCAGCAGTTTTTACTAGAATTTGTACATGTACACTGGTCTCGTGCTGAGGTCGCGACCTGTATTCTCCTGATCAGGTTTTAAACAAGTGTTGAAGAGCAGCCAAGCACATACTCATCCCCTCATAAAAAGGACATTCACCTGGGGAAGGGTCAAAAGCCCCAAATTAATTTGTTCAAAAACAGTCAAGTACCAATAATCCATGACATGCACCCTGACCAAGTACATTGTTTACTGGTATGTGTTATTTGATGTTGATACCAATAGATAAGCCATCTCTGCCCTGCTGTGTACTTATCTCTGGCTAACACATTTATTAAATATATACATGTAGAGTATCAGACTTAGATCTCAAACACAGACATAAAAAAAAAACCAGAATTTGTTCAGGCAACTGCAAGGCTGTATAAACCTATGAGTAGTTTCTTGTATGGAACTCTGGAAGAAAGGACAGCGGGCAAGGAAAATGCAAATATTTTGGGGCAAGATAGGAATTTGTTATTCTTTACTCGGCCTGATACTCACATCAAAGTAGTTGTGCAAAGGTTCCGGGACAGGGCCACTGCTTTTAAAGACCTTGTTGTACTTTGATTGGTGATCTTGGTAGTACACGGGGAGTCTTCCCGATTCTGCCAGCCGCTTGCGGATACTTTTGAAATGAGTCAACTTCACTCTGCAACCATCAAATAAAAAACCTCTCTGGCAAACAGTTACAACATTGTTATGCTCATAAATCAAGCACAACAGCATTTTTTTGACAATCCATATACATGGTTGCCCTTTTCCAAAATATTGTTACAGAGCCCACCTGTCTTCTATTGCATTGGCAAGAATTTCACATTTTCACAAAAAATAAAGTCAGTGAGAAACAAAGAAGTCTACAAAGACTACAAAGGCTGCAAAGGTAAAATTGGACTGACAGACATCTTGAAAGAAATTTGAAACATTGTGACTAAGAAAAATTGAGTTCCTTTAAATTATGTTGGAGTGCTGACTGATTATTCCCTCATGGAGAAATTTTGGGGCTTCAAAGACATTGGCTACAGACATTTTGAAATTTATGCACTTATTTGTAGAGCAAAGAAACAAGATGCAATGAATTAGGAATGATGTTACCTCAGAATGCAATGTGCAAGAACAGATATGCAAATAAAATACAAATCATCTTTTATCATAATAGTATGGGCAGCCATTCTCGCACTCGCAGCGTTAACTTGGCATACTGTGCAACGCAAACAACAGCAGCTTGTGCATGGGCGCGCACGGCATTGTGAGATTGGACTTCCGCCCACAATTCATTTGGGAACTTCAAGATAGGCACCCCTTCGTTTACACATTTCCCGAGGTTTGATTGCCAGTGTGAATCAACAGTGCATATTTCCGAGAAATGGTGTCCCCGGGAGTTACCAAGTGGGTTTAGTGTGAACGGTTGCTGGGGTTTTGGGGGGTTCCCGGGGATTTCCTAGGGATTGGCTATGCAGTGTGAAAAGGCCTATAGTTGGAACAGATTGATAATGTTGTTAGGTAGTTTGGACAATGTAGTTGGGGCATAACATTAACAACTTGTACTAAGTAGGGCCTACAATATCTGAAGGGAGTCACGCACGGAGAAATATTCAAACTGTACACTTCAACTTTATTTACAAACAAAACATTACAAAAACAGTGCCTCCAATCAAAATCAGCATTTCTCCATTTAGGATTCCATATTATTTCAGAATAAATATTTGCATGTACAATGATACCCCACGGGCGGGCGTCGGACCTAGTTCTGGGGGGTAGTACAGTGACTAACCGTTAATAAAGACCCGTAAGTGGATGTGTTTGCCATATGGGATCGGGCAAGTCGGGACACTGAATTCTTCGAAAACAAACTACACCCGAAGGTTATTTCTACCTTATCAGTGCGCAGTCCGTCACGACAGCAAGGCACGCTAGGAGGGAAAAGTAGCGGACGAATGTGATGATGTCGATCCGTGAAAACAGCCTCATTTTCGGCATGGAGGTGGAAATGTTTTCGGTAAGCTGTGTCTTCCGTGGCCAGCTCGTGGTACCAACTTCACAAGACTTCAACTCTTCCACAGACTCACTGAATTCAATGGGAAATACGACCTTATTTTCTAAAGGAAGAATGGTTTCGCTGAGATGGAGCAAAATTATACGCACACCAATCACGCTCCAACTTCCGACTGAGTGTGCGACCTGGCCTTTGAGCTGAGTTAGTGCTGGTGATCTAGTCGAGTATGCTACTCACGTGTTTCTGACTGAACCACATCGTCCACGTGACAGTAGTACGGAAGCCGGAGAGTGCCAACGAATGGGCGCGGACGCACAGTCCATTGTTATCTTGTCGACTGTGCAATGTGTTCATTTTGGGACAACAAAAGTGCTCCAAGCGAGGGCTGCTTTACAACTAACCTCATGAAGTTTAGCTCAGTGAATATTAGATATTCTGAAAAAATTCTGGAGGGTGCAGACCACTAATTCAAGTGAGAATTTCTGACCAGCTAATTAGCATTAAAAGTGCCCCCCACAGTATTTTTTGAAAAAGGAGATTGTTCGGCCCCCAATATGGTGAGATTGTGTAAATCGTTGCCAGGATCAACTCCTGGGTCTTTGAGCTTTCATTTGAGGGCAGAAGGGCTGAAAACTACGGTTGAAAAATGGTCCTAAGTGCCCGAGAAAGTTGAGGTT